GAGGAGGAGGAGGAGGAGGAGAATGGGAAGGAAGAGTAGGAAAAGGACAAGAGAACGAGGAGGATGTGTGGGAGGAAGGGAGGAGGAGGAGAGTAGGAGGAGGGGGAGGGGACGAGGAAGAGGAGGAGGAAGATGAGGAATAGTGGTGGTGGTGGAGGTGAAAACCAAACTTCAGAACGAAGTGTAAACACATTTAATCAAATAAAGGACCTCTTCAGCGCAAGCTTTCAGTCCGATTTATGTGAATCATTTTCGTCCTCTCCAGTCATCACGTCACCCCAGCAGCAAGGTCAACAATGTGCCCCTAAGGCGCCTTGGGATGTTTCAGGCGTCTAGAACTTCTTGTTCACCTGAGTGAGGTTTTGCCGCTTTTGCTCCGCGAACGATGTTGTGATTGAAAAAAAAGTGTGTGTATTATTTGGGAGCGGGGGAAGGGGGGTGTATTTACTTTATTATTGACATACGATACGTCAACACTTTAACTGTGAGACCAGTGTTCTTACAGTGACTATATTACGTATTTTCTCCAGGCTCACAATAACGTATACATTGTCTTAGAGGATTTTTATTTAAGCTTTAGGAAATTTAAAAAGCAGAAGACAGCTGTCATTGCACTCTCGAGGTTATCAGAATCTGTGCTTTCGTCTATTTTGTTTAGTCTTTTTAGTAAGGGTTTTACGGCACTTGCAGCACAAATAGGCCAAAATATAATTCCTTAAATCTTGAGGTCTTATTAGAGATTAAAACACGAAAAAAAAGAAGGAGAGGAGGTAAAGACGATAGATGTTTGATTGGAAAGAAGGAGAAAACCGCACCAGAGCACCCACCAACCATCCATTTTGTCTAAGTTGCCCCCTACGTCATTTTCGGTGGACGTGCGCACGCGTATGCGTGTGTTGGTTGGGGGGGGGGGGTAGAGATCTGTTAGTAATAATTATGCTACACTAAGCTATGATTGACCATGTTTCGAATCTCCTACTGGTTGTTCTTGATCTCATGTTATTCAACAAGTTATCATGATGCACCATTCTAAACGGTTCTGCCTTTTCGAAGTTGGATGGGAATTCGGAAGACCTGCCTCTCGAACAACCTGAACCTGACAGTGTTTAATGGGAATGTTAAACCAAACCAGGCCCATGTGTGTATTAATGTGTGTGTGTGTGTGTGTGTGTGTGGAGGTGTGTGTGTGTGTGTGTGTGTGTGTGTGTGTGGTTGTGTGTGTATCGTTATATTATCCCACTTTCTAATTTTTCTCAATCGTATCAACGTGGACATTAAACATTGAACATATTTCAGTCTGTTCCTTTTTCTTTTTTGTTGAAAATTTGAAATAAGTCTTAGAAATGTCCAATCTGAAAAAGAAATAAACTAAAGATACGTAGCAGATGAAGAACCAGAGAAGTGCCTTTCTTGCACTTGATCTCATGTTGGAATTGAATTATTCAAAAAACTAAAACCGCGTTAAATTAAAGCGCGCCTTAAAGTGGCGCACCTTGCGTGACAGTTAAGCTTGGCTCATTCACAGCCGGTCGATGACCCGTTAAACACGATGCTCTGGAAGGTCAAAAGGATTAGACTTGACTTTTAAATTGTTGTTTTTTTTGTTTGTTTTTTTGTTGTTGTCAGTATCACATCTAAAAGACTAAAAGTGTGTCTGTTATGTATGTTTGCAGGTGTATGTATGTGTTTTGTGTCTCTATCACCATCTCACCAGAAACTTTTTAAAAAAATCGTTTGTTTCTTATTCTTGTGTTAGTACATAATACTATTATTCAGATCAGCGATAGTGTGGTGGAAACTTGTTAATTGAGTGGAGGGGGATGCTCTTAATGTTCTCTGTGTCTATACAGAACAGGTGCTCGTTTTGATTCTTCCGTAGTAAAACTATAGACTAACAACAATTAACAATATGATAATATTATTATTAGGTTTGGAATGATTGACGATTTGGAAAGATTGGCGGCTTTGGTGTCTCTGTCAGCTTTTTCCCCGCTGCTATCAGTTTGATTTTTGTACGGAGACAATATTATCGACTTCTCTCTCTATATCTGCCTACTTTTATCTATTTTCTTTCTCTCTCTCTCTCTCTCTCTCTCTCTCTCTCTCTCTCTCTCTCTCTCTCTCTCTCTT